AAAAAAAAAAAAAAAAAAAAAAAAAAAAGATTTGAGAGTAGAAACTGAGGCAGCTCAGATATAATTGACTTTATTTTTTATAAGACAATTGGTACCAGACATAAGAAAGAAACTGATTGATAAATTTTTGAAGTATAAAATATTGGAGGAGTGTGAATCTGAATATAAAACTCTCATTCTACCAATCAGAAAACCATTGGGTAAATATAGGTTAGTGCAAGACTTCAGAGCAGTGAATCAAATAGTTAAGGGTATATATCCTGTAGCAGCAAATCCTTACATGCTGTTAACAGCTTTAAAGGAGACTTATCAGTGGTTTACAGTGGATGATTTAAAAGATACTTTCTTTTGTATACCTTGGAGAAGGAAAACAGAAAATTGTTTGCTTTTGAGTGGGAAAATCCACAAACAGGTCAAAGATGCAGCTGACATGGACAAGACTACCCCAAGGATTTAAAATAGCCTGATAATTTTTTGGAAAACAGCTGGCAAAGAAGCTTGAAACACGGAAACGGGACAAACCAAAACCTGGACATTTGCTTTTACAATACGTGGATGACACACTGATTGCTACAGAAGAAAGATTTACCTACATACAGGTAACAATAGATCTTTTTAATTTTCTGACACTAAATGGGTACAAGGTAGCCAAGAGGGGGAAAAAAAAATAAAATTGCATGTCAGACTGTGATATATTTGGGCTGTAAGATTTCAAAAAGGCATCGGCAATTAGGAATAGAATACTGAGAAGCATGTAAGCCAAAAAATATTCATGAACTCTGAGTATTCTTAGGTATGACAGCGTGCTGCTACCTCTGGATCATGAATTATGGTTTAACAGCTAAACTGCTATATGAGGCCCAAAGAACTCTCCTTTGACATGGGGCCCACAGCAACAACGGGCTGTCACAGAATTGCAACATGCTTTAATGTCTGCACCTGCCTTAGGACTTCTGGACATAACCAAAGACTTTCAGCTGTTTGTTCACGAAAGACAATGCCTGGCACTAGGTGTGCTGACTCGGAAGATGAGAAGCTGCAAAGGAACTGTTGGATACTTTTCTAAACAAATGGACAGTGAGTAAAGTAAAAACAGTGAGTAAAGGGTGGCCAAAGTACCTTCGAGCTGTGGCTCATAGAGGAAGCTCAGAAATTAACTTTGGGAAGCACAATAACAGTCTATGTCCCACACATGGTGATAACTGTTTTAGAACAGAAGGGGGGACATTGGCTATCTCTGAGCTGAATGATGAAGTACCAGGTAGTACTGACTGAACAAGATGATGTGATTCTAAACCCAACTAACCTGGTAAATCCTGCAGTATTTTTAAGCTCTACACAGGAAGAAGAGCAACTGGAGCAGGACTGCTTGGCTACTATCGAGTATGTTTATTCCAGTTGAGAAGATTTGAAGGATGTACCATTGGAGTAACCAGACTGGGAATTGTATACAGATAGTAGCAGCTTTATAGAGCAAGGAGTTTAATATGCTGGATATGTGGTAACAACAGACACCACAGATACAGAAACAAAGGCACTGATGAGTACTACATCAGCTTAGAAATCAGAACTCATTACTTCAATTCAAACCTTAGAACTAAGTGAAACGAAGAAAGTAAATATTTGGACAGACTCAGAGTATGCTTTTGGGGTGGTACATGTCCATGGAGCCTTGTGGGAAAAAAAAAAAAAAAAAAAAAAAAAAAAAAAAAAAGAGAGATTATTATCCTCTCAGGGATCAAATATTGAGCATCAAAATCAAATTTTACGATTATTACAAGCAGTTCAAAAACCAAATCAGGTAGCAATCATGCACTGTAAATCACACCAAATTAGGAACACAAAAGAAATTGCTAGAAGTAATTTGGCTGACTGGACAGCAAGAGAACGAGTATTCCAAATGGTATTAATTCCCTCCAAAACAGTAACCCCTCATAGACGAGTAGTAGTTCCACCTCTGTTAATAAGAAAAATAATGCAGGCCATACATCAAGAAAGTCATTGGGGAGCAGAAGCTTTAGTAACTTCTTTATAAAAAAACAAGTTATATCTGTTAAAATGATAGACATGGCTAAATTAATAAATGCAAAATGTGAAGTATGTTTGAGAAATAATCCAGTAACCAAGAAAAGAGTTCAGATGGGTAGATTAAAATCTGGTACAGAGCCTGGAAATTATTGGCAAGTAGATTTTTCAGAATTACCTAGACAAAATGGGTACCAATACATTCTGGTGGGGGTAGATACTTTTACCGGATGGCCAGAAGCTTTTCCTTGTCACACTACACAAGCCATTGAAGTAGTAAAGTGGTTAATGAGAAAAATAATTCCAAGATTTGGAGTTCCTATTGGAATTTTGTCTGACAGAGGTCCACACTTTGTTGCAGAAATAGTCCAAAACATTAGCAAAATTCTGGGTATCACTTGGGATTTGCATATTCCTTGGAGGCCACAATCCAGTGGAAAAGTAAAAAGAATGAACTAGACTTTTAAAAGGCAAAGAAGTAACATCTGTCAAGAGACCAATTTAAAATGGCCTCAAGCATTTCCATTGGCATTATTACGAATCAGAGTACAACCAAAGAGTGGAACCTCAGTCAGTCCTTATGAATTATTGTATGGGAAACCTTATGAGTCCCCAGAACCAAATCCAAACATGCATGTAAAAGGAAAACAGGATGTGTATAACTCTTTGCTTTCTTTAGGGAAAATATTAACTGCGATTCGGAGTGCAGTGGTGTGGAATAGACCATTATTCCTGGAAACTCCAGTGCATGACTTTAAACAAGGAGATTATGTCTATGTGAAAACGTAGACTTCTGAACCTTTCCAGATACTGTTAACCACCTTCACAGCCATCAAGATTGCAGAATCAGATGCTTGAATACACTATACCCAAGTGAAGAAACCACCCACTCCATGGAAAATCATAAGCTGTGACCCAAAGACTTTGAAACTGACTTTGAAACATGTTTAATATTTCATATCAGTTTGTGATTGTTCTCTTTATATTGGCTTAGAAGGTGATGCTGCTGGAATCATGGGTTGATCTGGTGGCAAAGAACAAAAGGCAAACAGATGTAGAGCAATTAATGCATCTTCCCAAGGAAATGCCTGAAGAAATTTTGATGTTAGGATTGATTAAAGGATTCGCCAACTTACAAAATGTCCCCCAGATCACAGCTTGTTTACCAATTCCAAGAGCAGTAGGTAAATCTATTCCTTGGGGAATCTTAACTATGAATTTGACCAATTTGGAACATGAAAACGAGACTTTCTTGCAAACAAAGGTCAGTGATCCAATGGTATAAACAAGCAAAGGTTATTAAGAAACAATCAAAATAACTAGAAAAAAAAAAATCAGACTGCAAGAAACTACTAAATTATGACTTTATAACAGGGTCTCAACCTAGTGCTTTGGATCGAGTTCTCCTCCCAGGAGGCTCAAAACCTAATCTAGGATGGTGTTCATATGATGAACAAATTAAAAACAATGTGAGCAGGAGCATCATGGAATGGCAGTGTAACATATCTGGGCAAAGTACCCAAAACCAGGCAAGGTGAGACTGTATCGTCTATGTCCATATTCTTACGATTTCAGTACATGGCCAGAACCCCTTGGTGTTTTACTTGGAACATTACATGGATTAATAGAGTGTTTGCAATCCTTCCCTTGATAGTAGATAAAGGCACTACCCGACAAGAAAAGAAACATGTAGTACCATGGTGGAAATGTGAAAAGGTGTATAATTGCAGCAATGCAGACTTAGTAATTCAAAAAATTCCTCATTTGGCAGCTGCTTTCAAGTTTGGTTGTTATTGATGAGGTTTTCATAATAACCTCACCATGACTAGTATCTTTACACCCAGAAGAGGATAATATTTTAGTTGTAAGAAATCTACCATTCAGAGTCCAGGGCATTTAGTTTGGGCATTAAGTGATGGCACCTGGACAACCCACATACCAGTAGATGGTAAGGTGAAACAAATTACTTTAGGCCAGCCAACATTGTGTCCAATTTGGAAGAAAACACCATTCAAGGAATCCCTAGAAAAATTTAAAATTATAATGAATCAAAAGGTCTGAAACAGATGATGACACCTGGAATGAACCATCAAAAGGAATAAAAATTGGCTGGGCTTTAGAGTCTCTTCTGAACACAATAGCATCCTATAGAAATAGAGAATGGCTTTATCACTTAACAGGACAAGTAGAAAAATTGGCCAATGTTACAAAGAAAAGGATTAAAAAAAAAACCAAACCATACAATTACAGGCAACATATAGAATGACACTTCAAAACAGGATGACACTAGACATGATTCTGTTAAAAGAGCATGGAGTGTGTGGATATCTCAAAGATAGATTAGATCATTGCTGCATTCATATCCCAAATGTTACACAGGATGTAGAACATGATTTAGATCTGTTAGGCAAAATCAGAAAAGAAACAGAAACAATTCGAGAGAATATGTCAAAAGATTGACTAGGAAAATTTTTAGTGGATTAGGATGGAATTTGAGCTCTTGGCTAAAATCCTTAATCAAAATTCTATTTTTGCTATTTATTGTCCTTTTGATGATTATGTTGGTATATGCCTGACTTAAAAGAAAATTTACTAATAGGCTTGCAATATATCATAGAATTATGAGAGAAGTACTCACTATGCCACCAGACTACAGCCTGCCACCACCATCATCTGGCAAGACAAACTTTGGCTTCAAAGATAAAAATGAATAAAAGTGTGAAAGTATTGAAATTATTTTCAACACTTTCAAAGGGGGGAAATATTACTGATTATATTATCAACTGAAATTAAATTGTGTTTGATTTTAATATAAGTATAGAGTTAAGGGATATTTTAGTAAAAATAATTTTACATTTATTGTATTTTGAATCTAGCAACCGACCACTACTCTAAAATCCCCTGTACAGCCCTGTACCAAGGCTGAAGGGACTGGTCATAATTGTTTAGTAGGAATGGTTAGAACCTAGGTAACAAAACATGAGGTGATTTGTAAACTGATTTATAATACATACGTAGGACTAGAAGAATGCAAGTAGTTGTCAAGGTCCAGGATTGATGGGAACTGAGGGAAGTAACCGTAACAGCTTGCAGGTACCTGCCAAGAAAACTGTGTCCTTAAGCAAAAGGTAATTCCGGCAGGGGGAGATCGCGACCACCGACTCAGGGACCACCTACTCACATTACACCCCAGACCCATTTCTAGACATTTCTAACCTTTACTGCGCAGAATCGGAAGTAGGAGGAGAATATGTTAATGATTTCTTGGAAGTTGTATGCTTATGTATGAAGACTTAATGAATATGTATGAGTGAGTTCTATATAAGATGTATGATTCTGGTGCCTGGCACATGTTGTTGGTGAGAGCACTCCCCCACACGTCCGGCTGTCAATAAAGAAGTGTCTGCTTATCTGCATCAAATTGGTGTCGATAAGTTATTTTTATCCCAGATTTTGGTGACACTGTGAGTATAAAGGCCTCAGTATCATGCCCTAAAATAGAGGCATTAGGGTTGAAAAACAGAGAATAAAATGCTGCAGCAAGTCTCACCATTCTCTTTACATCTTGTTCCAGTGTCTTTTTTTTCTTAATTTAAGAACTTTATGTCAGACAGAAAAGCTGAACTAGATAGCTATGTAGCAAAGACAAGAAGAAAGCAAACGTTAAGACGACATACTGTGTGGCAAACTTGCAATATACAGATGATCTCCCATGTATCAGGATAATATGAAAATAACAATGGATCTAACAAAGAATCTGCAGAGAATCTTTGCTAAGACAAAAAAAGCATACGGTCACTCCTGAAACAGTCTAAGAACTGAACAAATATATAGAATAATATGTCTAAGAAATAGGAGTATTTTTATTTAATATATTATTTTGTATCCCTGTGTTTGATTGGAAAGATTGTCAACTTCATTTTTCTTCAGAATTTTAAAGAAAGGACAATGCTGACTATGCTAACTGATGAAGAATATTGAGCTTCCTCAATAATTAAAACCAGTTGTTATTAGTGCTTTTGCTAACTTTTTTGTTCCAGACTTTGTGTTTCCTTGTTTATGGCAAAAGATCATGTACTAAATATGTCTCTTGCAAGTCCACCAAGGATTTTCTCCAAAGAGAATCCAGGAATAATATTTTAAGAGACGACATCGTTTAAGTGAACACAGCTATAAATATTTTAATTGCTCACAAAATTAATCAAATTTGTCATGTCCTTAAGTCCTGCATGAGGAATTTGGTATCTCTGTGCCAGGAAGAACCTGTGGGTTCCAAATTGCTTGCAAAAGTCACAGCCATGCTAGAAGTTCATGCTAAAATATAATAATACCGGGTTTGGAAGGAGAGCTGTGAATTGCTAAGACATTTGGGATATGAATTGACAGTCTGTAAGGTGACTATAGTAATTTCCTTGATTTTGTATAGCTGCATGAGTTGCTTTGTTCATTAGACTACTCATATGGAAACATAAATGGTTTCCCAGTGACATAGATGCTATTAATATAAAGGAAATTATTTGAGCTTTCAAGAAAGTATTAACTAGAACTTTCTAAGAAGGGGTGTGCAGATAGCAAAAATCTGTAGTTGCTTGTATGGAACAGAGCTGGATTGTTGCACATGTTTTCAAAAGGCACCTCATTAAAAAACTTAACTAATATTACTTACTTGCTGATATTGCTTAACTTTGTTACTATTTTTAAGAGGCATAGCAAATGGTGTATTCTGCCTTCAGTAAGATGTGAGGAAAGAAGGCTATGCCCCTGGATAAATTCATGGTTCATCCACACCCTGAAAAGTGAAATTCTGGTCTTGTTACTTCCAAAAATGTAATAGAAATGGAAAAGGTTCAGAGATGAGCAACAAGGATGATGAAAAGTCTGGAATGGCTTTCAGACTGGGACTCTTTAGTCTGAAATAAAGACAACTGAGAAGGTATAGGATATTAAAAAAAAAGAGTAGCACTGCCAGGATGCACATGGATTGATAGTTTACTGTCTATGCTGATACCAAAACTAGGATCCACACCAGGATGCTCTCAGGAGCCAGGTTCAGGACAAGCAAAAGGAGGTGATTTTTCACACAACAGACTTTGGAACTCCTATGTGCTGGGAATACAAGATTTTTACAAGGTTTTTAGAGGAGACTACACAAGCACTTGGAAGACCAAACCCTTGGAGTTACTATTTAGACAGACCACATAGGGCTTAGGATAGGTGGAGTCTGAGAGGATTTTTTAAAAATCCATTGTGAATTTCTTCTATTCTTTCTTTTCTCTAGGTGTCTGCCCATGATCACCATGAATGTGACCCAGACAGAGCCTAGGTCTGAACCAGTGCAGACATTCCTATGTTGTTACATATTTTTAAATATTGATGACACTTTCCTATATATTGAGCCCATCTTAGGAAAAAATGAGATGAGCAATGTTACTTCTGTAAATAGTCTCACAGAAGTAAATCAATTTCAGTGTTACCTGTCTTCAGGAGTTTTCAGGTCCAAGATCTGCTAAACTGTTTAATTCAGCTGTGAAACTTTGCATATGAAGTACAATCATACATGCCTCCTTCTAAGTTTGCATTCTGCTTATTAAGACATTACATTTTATTCTATGCCACAACATTTTAAAAATATTTGATTCACTACTGTGCCCTACAGTAACTGAGCAACTAAAGATCTACAGTACATTCAGCAGGTATGAAATCTTGTCAGAATTGTATAATAGCATGCTA